TACGAAAAGTGCAAAAACGCATAATCGCACCGGCCCGCCTGGTGCGTTCCAGCCTGGGTTTGCTGTACAGCGAAAGACGCATGTTGTCGAGGGGCCCCTCGCTACGTCGGCTTTGTCACACTTCATTTGCACAATCTGAATTAACCTTTCACAGTAAGCAGCATTGCTATGGTTATTGATGATATTCTTGTGGTTGCTTAAGAAACCTACTAATCGTAGAGACCCATTCACTATTAACATAAATTCTCCGAAACGATAACTTTTGTGAAGGCACTGCCACTGACCAGGCCAGTCTAAGAAAATAAAGAACAGACCTGTAATGGTCCAACTCTGGTGAGTAGCTCCGCGTTATTTTGTTTGTCACGAAACCATTCCGAGAAACCCGCTGACGTAAAAATTGATACTCTGCTATAGCTCAGTATGCGGCTGGTTGTTGCAAGTGCATAATCACAGGCCGGTCCAAAGGCCACATCCAACTAAAGGAACTTTGAGATGTTTTAGTTAGAAGAAAAAAAAAAAAAAACAAGCCATATGAACATAGGTCAATTCCAAAGTACAGTTTCTTCCTTTACCTGATGTACGACATTTAAAAAAAATTCTGCCTACAAAATGCTACGTGAAAAAAAGTTGTAAAAGCAAAGGTTTGGGAAAATTGAATGGATTAATACAAACTCCCAAGCCATTGGTCCATTCGACGGCTTCCAGCGCAGCCCACGCGGCTTTTTTTTGATCCTCGCATTCGCTGATAGCTGCTGTGTAAATGATCATCCAGGAACGTCGATCGTGCCACTGTCTTAGAAATCGGTCGTGCGCATCATGAATTGCTACATCCATTATCGGATGAACGCTTTCGATTGTTGCCAAATGTTGCTGGATACCTTTAATTTTATTTACTTTTTAAGTGAACACATTTTTCCTTGACAGGCGTGCCGGTGCGATTATGCACTTTTCGTGCCGTAGCAAGATCGCAAGGAATCAAAGTAGCTAACCCTGTGAAATACTGACCC